CTTTGACAGGGGAAAGAGGTGGATGTCCACCTAAAATTGTTGAAGTCTGGTTCCATCAGTTGTTGTGTTTCCATCTGCTAGTGTGTGTTTCCATTTGTGTTGTGTGCTTCTATTTAAGGTATTGCTTGCGTGCTTCCATATGAGGTATTACTTGTGTGCAATATATTTGGTTCCAAGGCTATTTGTGTTTCCATTGTACATTTACTCCAGTTTTTGTTAATATTTTGGCTAAAAAGGGGGAGTAAAATGTTAGTTGTATTTTGTGTCCTGATGTTACATCACATGTTTTGACATGTTGATTTAACATTGTGATAGGATTGTATGCTACTGCTTTTGGGAGAGTAGTTGTTTGTGGTTACTAGCTGTATGCAACCATTAATGAGGAGCATGATAGTTTGTCATGCGCTGAAGCTGCTACTGTGGCTGCTTTTGCTATGTCTTCTGCTGCATGTGCTCTGATTTAGGGGTGTTCCTTTGAGGGGGATTACTGATTGTGTATGAAAGGGGAGTAATAGACTTGTTTAATTGTACAAACTCTTGAGTTGTGTTTTTACAGAGTTTTCATGTATTCATGTAACTTGTATTTGTGGTTTTATTCCTCTCTCCATGGTTATTGTACAAACTTTGTTTTAGCCAAAATTTTCCAAATGGCGAGATTGTTAGATCTGTGATTTTATGGTTGACAATAATTTTGATAAAATAAGTAGTTGGTAACAATTTTGGTAAAATAAGTAGTTGGCAACAATTTTATCAAAACATGTTTCATTTGGAAACATCAATTGCAACCTAATGTTGAACAAGATGTCATAACATCTTGACCAGCTGGTACAACACAATCTGCTAGTGCTTTATTTGATAGACGTTCAATCAGATGTTGTAACATGTTATAATAGAACATCATGGCAGTACAACTGTCTGATATCCTTGAAGATTTGATTGAAAAATATGAGTTTTTAGAGGCTTCTAGTACTCATAACAGGCACAATCAATCAAGGATTTTTAGGAACAATTACATATTTGATTTTGTTTCATAAAAAAGATCTTTGAGACTTTTTAAGAAATATTTGAAAGATTTGTTTTTTTGTTTCTATTTTTATGGAGAAGATTCTACAGGGATTTACAACTGAAGATTGGATTTTATTTAAGAGTCCAAGCCAGTATAAGCCCAACTGCAAGAGTCTATTAAAGGGGACGTCCAAGACCTAGTTCTTAAGCATTATTTTATTGTAAAATCGTGTGCACATAAGGGTTTATAGGTTGAGAGTTCCTTAGCTTCTCTATGTGTCTTTATACGTCCTCATATATCTTTTGATACATTTGAGTTGACTGGTTGTTACTTGTTTATCAAGTTATTGTTCTCATCTAATATTTTAAGCAAATAGTTGAGTATTGTTCTTAGTTAAGATTTTAAGCAAACTAAGTATTTTTGTATTGGAATAGTGATCTTATTTTTGGTTTCTTGAGACATTCCCTGGGATTGAGATTGTTTGATATCACTACGGTGATTGGGAGTGAGAGGGATTCTCATATTTATGAGGTTCCTAGGTAGAAGTTGCACTGGGTAGAGATTAAGTGATGAGTTGTAAATTGGGACTGTTTAGCTTCAAATTGATACTACTGATAGAGGATTTTCTTTCTGGCTTGGTAGCCCACATAGTAGGTAAGTTGCACTGAACTGGGTTAACAATTTATTATGTTCTTTAAGTTTATGGAATTTACTTTTCTGCATAATATTTCTGTTTTCAGCAAGTCTATTTTTCTGTCATCAGATGTTATAAAATCTGCTATGACATTGTGTGTTGTTGAGACATTGGTCTTGACTTCTGTTATTGCAAGTGCCAGAATTTCAATATTTGTTAAGTTATAATTGTTGAGTGATGATTGATTAATGTATTGGGTGTGAGAATGTAATTGATGTACCGTGATTGAGATTATGTAGAATATGTTATGTGTTGATATCCGACCTTGCAGTATATGCCTATTATTATTAATTGTGCTTTCTCATCCCTTCCGTTGGAATGTTGCCTCTACATAGACATCGTGCAGATACTTAAGAGTATAAACTTTACTGTGAGTGGAAGCTATATCTTGTATCTATTTCTTTTAGTTCCTTGTCTTAATTTTGGGTTATGCTCTGATATGTAACACCAGGGAGCAATTTCTTGTTTTATGTTGAGATTTTCTAAGATACAATGTATGCTCTCGTATATTTATGTTTTTGGTGCGATAAGCAATTGGAGAAGATTTACGAGTTGATGCTTTTAATTATAATATGAAGTTTTATTATGAGATTTAAATTGATGTATATTTTAATTATGATTTCGCTGCCATTAGATTAAATAAGTTGGATATTGTGTAAACATCCCAAGTACAAATCATATGAGTTGGATGTCGTGTAAACACCCTAAGTGCAATTGTGTGCATTAATATATCGTGTTGCATGTTTATTTAAATTAAGTGTTACATGATCAACAAGTGTGTGTGTTTCGATATGTGTAGCATTATATGTGAAAATGTTGTGAAAAAATCTCTGATTTATTTATAATTATGCGTTGGGGAAAATATGGTGTTACACTTTTAAGAGGCTAGCTTCAAATAAAAGAATTTTTCATACCTTGAAGCTAAAGTTTTAGAAACTGAAAAACAAATGAAAGCTCTTAAACAATATATAGTGGTTCAACAATTTGTCCTTGCTATGCCTCCTCCACTCTTCGATGGTTTTCACATTGGAAATAGTAACATCTTCCACTATTTTAATGTTAAAGATACAAGTATTTTTGGTAGAATAAATTATTATCAACCCGAACACTAACAATCAAATGCTTTAGCCAATATGAATCTAAAACAATAATCCTCTATGTTGATGCAAATTACTCAACTACTAATACTCAAGATCTTCAATGATCTTGATCTAACAAACTTTATAGACACAATAATTTCGCTCATAGCTTCAATTCTATAGCACTCTTTACTCGAATCTAACAAAGACTTGTCTGAGAGATTGTTCTAATAACAAATAAGGACAACTCCCAACTCTGTTATGTGAAAACCTTTACTCGAATCCACGAAAGTTTTCATTGGAGTATGGAGAAAACTCTTCTCTTGCTTAATAAACGCTAATCAATAGTTTGACCTATACGCAATCTTTTTTCCTGATACAAACAATAAAGCTTCATATGAAAAATCATTAGATTCCATAATGTATCTTAATTCACCTCTCACACCTAATCTTTAGAGTTGAGTACCACAACACTCTGTTATTAGTATAAGGTTGAAGATGACGGATAATATCTAAAGAATCTCACACAATACAACTACAAACTTCTCAACTTCCAACATTCTAGGAAGTTTTTCACCGGTTGAATCATGAAGATAATGTATTTGTGAATGAAGAAGCTTTCATGGGTTCTCTCAAAGTTCTTGACAAAGAAAGATTTAATTCTAGATGAATATTATGGATTTTCAATAAAAAATATTCAACAATTCATCAAAAGAATTTCTCTTTAGTAGACATCACTTGATGTTTTCATGATTACATATGATATCACTTGTGAATAGGCTACCCAATCAATCTGGAGACCCTATTCTAGTTTAAGAAATGAGCCTATTTCTTTTTAAAAAAGTAAAATTTTACTATTTAAAAATGACACACCAAAAATACAATTATATATTAACCAAATGAAGAGCTAAAAAACGCAAAGTATAATTTAAAATACAAATATCATTTCATACAACTTAAAATTTCTAAGTGCTTAAAAATAGTCTTTCCCCGAACATTTTTTGAAGCAAATTCATCAACTAGGTCTTCATATTTTAGTGTTTCCAAAATACTGTTTTGAACGGCAGCCCCAAATCGAATTTGTGCTTTTAATGTTTTGTTTTTTTTTTATAAATATTTTTCTAATAAAAAACTTGAGTCCTTAAAAATTTGGAGCCCATTTCCGGTGAGGTTGATGCACAGGTTAATGGACGGGCCTACTTGTGAACATCACAGTTTATACCAATTGACATCCTTGACATCATTCGAAAAAGAGACAAGAAAAAGGATTAAATAGATGTTAGAGATAAGACAAAAAAAGATAAGAGCAATACATTGTGACTCAAATCAAATCACGAGTTTGTGATTTAAATCAAATATAGTGAAGTGAATAGTTTGTTATTTTTGTGATTTAAATCACGCCTGAGTGTGTGATTTAAGTCAAACAGAGTATGATTCGAATCACCCTTAATTTTAAAGAAAGTTTGATTTCCATAATTCAAATCAAATTGTCTGTGGAAGTACCATAATTTGAATCACATACTTCCATTATTCGAATCAGACTAACATGGATAAATCCTTCACTTTCAAGTATGTGTTTGATTCGAATCACAACTTGTTAGATTCTAATCAAGCTTTACAAAATTTTTGATTTAAGACGTCGTCTAACTTGTAATTCAAACTACCTCCAATATTTTAACTTATATCAAATCACAAAGATAAAAAAAATACATTCTTATAGATCCAATCTCAATAGATTAAATATAGAGATATTTCAAGGTACATGCTTAACAAATGAAATGACCAATTTAAAATCAAATTACAAACTAATCGTAAAAGTGTGATGAATTAAAATTAAACACACAAAAATAAAAATGGACAAAATATTTTGAGTGAGGGACCAATATAAACACAATCTCGTATAATCATGAGAATGATAAAGACGAGATACTTTGAATGAGTATACAAATAATTGATATAATATCACATTTAATTTATTTTAACAATGACATATTTGCAAAGTGACTTTGGGCATAATAATATTTCAGAAAAAAAAAACTTGGGCGTAAGAAAAATATTATTTTCTAAGTTATTAAAATTTTTTATATTCATCTTCATTGTTATCAACATCATTATCATATTTTATCAGGACACTCTACCTCCTCACTCACTCAGTAACCCTTATTTCTTGTTATTTTTCTGTTACTACTCAGTAACCTCGAGAGCTAGAAAAAGCAAAACGATGTCGTATGTTCCTCCACACTTGAGAAACGCGAGCTCAACCGCGGTGGCCACCACCACCACCAGACCTTTATCATCAACCGGAACCCTAGACAACAACCACCACCACCACCACAACAACACCAACCTCGCATTCTCTTCCTCATACTCTCACTCTCACCCCAACTATTCTTCTCTCTCCAATGGCACTCGCCGCACCTCCGCCGCACCTCCGCCATCTCGGATTATCACCGTCCCTGATACTGTCTTCCCTAACTGGCAACCTTCTGAACGCGTTTCCCGCATGAACCCCGACCAGGTTCCGCTCCAATCTTCATCTCCCCTTGTTTTTCTCATTTCTTATCGTTTTTTTATATCCTCTGAACTGAATGAGTGTTTTTATTTCGAGGTTTTTGTTTCCGTTTCAAAAATTTCAATTCGTATATTTAGGGTTTTTCGTTCTTACTTATTATTTATATATCAGCTGATTTTAATTTCATTTGTGTCCTTAGTGTTACAAAGTTTTTGTTCAAGAAGTTGAGTGTGAAGTTTTTGTTACATTGATATGCGAATATGATTACGGAAACGTGGTTATTGCCAGTGTAATGTGTGCTGGTAACTAAGAGAAGTGGATAAGTGGTGTATTTTTAACTACCTTGAATTTGGAAGTTTTCTATTGAAGGGTTTGGAACTGTGGGATAGTATTGTATTATTTTGGATTTGCTACTTTGGCTGTAGGCTTTGTAATTGTAGTGAATAAGCAAGTTAGACTTAGAGGTGATTTTTGGTTAAGAGGGAAATCAACTGTGACTCCATTCAGACAGCTAGAGTTGCCACACTGTTGTAAAATTTACCGAACTACTACACTCCTGGCCCAAGAGAAAACCCCACCACTGTGTTTTTAGGGGTTCTAGTAAAAAAAAGGATTATAGAAGTTAGCATTTCTCTTTGGATGAAAAGTGAGATTTATTAATTTGTGATGAAGTTGGCTCAAACATTGTGGTTTATCTAAAGCTGTTATCAAATTTTCTTCAACATCATCAGTTCTGATAATTTATTTCGCTTGCACTTGATTCCAGCAACCTCTCTATCTCTGGGGAGAGCTCTTGCTCTTTTGTTTTGGCTATCTCAATAGTCTCTCTTTTTTAGTTGGGGTACCTTTAGAGATCTCATTATATCATCTCCTCTTTTCAAAGTTGAACTAGCTAGCTTGTATCTTCACATATTTGTATTAATATAATATCCTATTGTTTCAGTGAGTACATGTTCTTTCTTGTTATATAGCCACATAAAAAAATATTGGTTGCTGAATTATAGTGCTTGTTACATCCAGATTGAAGAGGTCCGCATACGGCTTAATCTTGATGTTACTGTTTCGTCTGACTCTCCTGCTGCACCTGGACCTATAGAATCGTTTAATGATATGGTATGGTATTTAATTTTTCCAAGTATTTAATCATATTTATATTTCTTCTAGGTAATGATAAGCTAGAGCTAGTGTAAAAGAAAAAACCTGAGCTACTATTTACAAATGTGTGTAAAATTTGTGAATTTATTTGTATCAGTGTTTGCATCCACGTATCATGAAGGATATTGCTTATCATGAATACACCAGGCCAACTTCCATCCAGGCACAGGCCATGCCTATTGCTCTCAGTGGAAGGGATCTTTTGGGTTGTGCTGAAACTGGTAGTGGGAAGACCGCAGCTTTCACCATTCCTATGATACAGGTCTGAATTTTTTGTACATGCAGTATGCAGACGCAGGCTTGATTGGGCATATTGATGATATTTCTAATTACCATGTGGTGAAAAAAACCAATTGTGAACAGCCATTTTTTTTTTATGATTTACTTTTTTTCCTTTCTATTTTTATTAGCATTGCTTGGTCCAACCTCCAATTCGGCGTGGAGATGGTCCCCTGGCATTAGTTTTGGCTCCTACTAGAGAACTTGCTCAACAAATAGAAAAAGAGGTGATATATTTAATTTCATGTAATGAATTGTAAGTAGTTATGTGAGACAGAATATTCTTCATTTCTCCAATTCTAGATGGCAAGTTTCTTTGTAAACTATAACTATATTTAGAGCTCTCTTTAAACATTATTCATATACTTCTATTGACTTGCTCGTGCCCTGAATTTTTTTTCTTCATTTTTTTGGGGTCAGGTTTTGATTGTTTTATCAGTGAAAGGAAATTATTAACAACTGTCCTCTTATGGCCTTTTCCTTATAACTTTATATTTTGTGGATATTGATTTTCAAAGCTAGAGGAAGAGGAAGACCTAAGTTATTGAGAAAGATTTTGTGATTAACGATTTGGGTAGAAGTATGTTCCTGGATGTAAAATTAATATTATGGCGAAAGTTGACCCATGTAGCCGACCCACTTAGTGGGATAAGGCTTGGTTGTTGTTGGTGTATTTGTTGCCATCTTTTTTGATCCTGAGCTTGTCTGTTCTCTATCACCTGCCTATTTGGAATGTGTATTCTTACTTCTTACAAAAATAATTTGACATGGGTATAATATTCTTCCTTTATTACTTCAAATTATCTGTTTAATTTTGCAATTGGTATATTTTTTGGTTATGCCGGAAATGTGTATTCTTAGTTCTCACAAACATAATTTACATGGGTATAATATTCTTGCCTTATTACTTTGAATTATCTGTTTAATTTTGTGATTGGTATATTTTCTTATTATGCCTGAAATTATGATTCACTCCAAAGCATTTCATTCCATCTATTTTCCCTTGGCAGGTCCAAGCATTTAGCAGATCTCTTGAGTCATTAAAAACTGCCATAGTTGTTGGTGGAACTAACATTGAAAAGCAGGTAATTAAATGTAACAATATTTTTCTCTCAGTGGTCAAAAAACAATGATCGATATTCTTTTTATTTGTTGACATTACTATACTCTGTTAAATATGGTCAAAGAGCACCCATGATTTGGGCAGTTCACAGAACTGAGAGAAACTGAACTGCACTGAGAACTGAACTGAACCAATCTTAAAAATCGAATCGTTAGCTAATTGTGAGAAGTAAACTGCTGCTTAAAACAAAATCATTGAACTGAACTGTGCTGCAAAAACAGTTTGGCGAGCATAGTTAACTGAACCCAAACATTTTCTCAATGAACTAGTGTTTATCAGTTTTTTTTTTTGTGGGGTACACGTTTATCATTTTTTATGGACTGTAAACATTAGTCAATATTTTTTTAATTTTTTTGAGACTATTTTATCATATCCTGATTAGTGTGTATGGTGTATGTAACTCCAAAACCGAACAACAAACCTCTCCAATTTAGCTACTTTTTTTTGGAATATTTTAAGAGCAACTTAAACAAGACATTATCTCTTTCTTTCCCAATTTGCAAAAGACGCTGCAGTAGTCAGTATTGACGAACTAGTGGTTGGCCGTACTAAACCTATTGCAATTGTTTGTCTAGCCAGTTTTGATCTATTACTCTGAACCACAGTGCACTCAACCAAAAATAAGTTTGGATAAGTTCAAGCTAAATAAGTAACAGTTCAGTTCAGTTTGGTGTAATTTTTTATAGAACCTAACCATGAACACCCCTATCCGTGATATAAGTATTTGTATGTTAAATATGTTTAAGCTATTGTAAATCTATGATGTCATTTTTTGGTTGCCTTGGACATGGGCGTGCTAAGTCTTTTGCAATTGTTTGTCCTGCCAGTTCGGTTCTCTCGGTTGGAAATGGGCATACTAACGTTTTGGAAAAATCTGTGTTTTTTAGTTTTCACAGAGCTAGTTCTCCCGCTAGGCTGATTCATGTGTTATATGTTAAGCCTAGTTTGGAAACAGATGCTGAGCACTGCTCAATATTATTTTTGTCAAGTAAAATTTTGGAAGAAAGGATTGTGTATGCTTTCTTTCTGGTAACATGATTTTGTGTATGATTTCTTTCTGGTCTCTATGGCAGAGGTCTGAACTAAGAGCAGGAGTTGAAATAGCAGTTGCCACCCCTGGAAGATTCATTGACCACTTACAACAAGGCAACACTTCCCTCTCTAGAATTTCTTATGTTGTTCTAGACGAGGCAGATAGAATGCTTGATATGGGGTTTGAACCACAAATAAGGGAGGTTAGTGCGGGAGTTACTCTCGTGTGTGAGGTTTTCCTTTATTTTAAAGACAATTATATTCCTAATGTACGATAAATAAAATAATGTCACTTCTTCATTGTAGTAGTGTTTATGTTTTCCCTTACAATGGTTCCAAATTCAGTTGTTCCATGTCACTCCTTTTCCCTTCACTTTTCACCAATTTACATCATTGGACTTGGAACTATCACTTATGATGGTCTAACAAGATATTTTGGTTACGATTTATGAGCATCTTACTTTAAGAATTTTTCTAGCAATAAAAACGTGCTCATCGTTAACAAAGAAAAATCCAGCAATAAAAATTTCTCCTCTTCTCTAGATAGAATTTTCATTTTCATTTTAAGGTTCAAGCTTTAATAAGTTTCATTATCTAATTATGCACCTCTTATGAATTGAATTTTTATGACCTTAACTATTACAGCCCGAATTGGAAAATCTGTGTTTTAGTATTGCATACACATCTCATATAGGGGGAATTAATAATATTTGATTTTTCTGCAATAAATCATTCCTGGGCTAGATTAATAGAATAGATGTTCGGCCTTGATTATTGAAGACAATATATATTTTTTAATATCATCCTCAGATCATGAGAAGTCTTCCAGAGAAGCATCAAACACTGCTGTTTAGTGCAACAATGCCCGTGGAGATCGAAGCATTAGCAAAGGTCAGTTTTCCTTTGTTCTTGGCTCCTGAGTTTTTCAAAGTCATTATTTTCTTCTTTAAGCCATGTTAAAATAATGCGGGCGGTGGTACGAGTTCTGATATTATGAAATCACTTTTTGTGAGTATAGGAATATAATTCTAGCATTCATAATTTGCTTTCCACAAATCAACAGTCTTGCTGCTTGATCATTGTTAAAGAGACATTGAAAAAATAGTCTCAATATGTCTATAAGCGGGGGCAATCATCACCTTACATGCCGATTTTGAAAGGTTGAGTTAGACCTAAGATGATATCAGGGCCTAATTTTCTGGCCATAATTTTTTTCTTTATGATAAAATCATATATCCTGAAAAATTTCCTTTTGAAATTCCTTTTTCATCAACATTTTTCTTTAAAATCGTTTGTTGAAAGATTCATTCAATTTTGTTCATTGGTCATCTTTTGAAATTTCAGGAGTACTTAGCTAACCCAGTTCAAGTTAAGGTGGGAAAAGTGAGCAGCCCAACAACTAATGTTTCACAAACTCTTGTAAAGGTTTCTGAAAGTGAGAAGGTAACTGTTAAAATACGAGAAACTAAGAGACATTTGAATAAACTGTATGTCGAATAGCACAGCGGAAAATGATATATATATAGAGAGAATTTCATATCAACAATATTAATTACATGTTAAATATATACTGATCCTATCCTAGAATATACAAGGGAATATTCTAGGAATATTCTAGAGAATATTCTTATTCTATATACAAATATCAACACTCCCCCTCAAGTTTGAGCATATAAATCAAATGCCCCAAGCTTGTTACATATATAGTTGGTTCTGGGGTTTCGTAGAGATTTTGTAAACACATCGGTCAATTGGTCATTAGAGTTTACAAAGCTTGTGGCCATTTTGCCTGATTCGATCTTCTCTCTGACAAAGTGACAGTCTATCTCAATATGTTTGGTCCTCTTGTGGAAGATCAGATTTGAAGCAATATGTAATACAACTTGATTATCACAAATAAGTGTCATTGGTTTTGCATCTTCAATTCGAAGTTCTTTGAGCAACTGTTTTAATCAAATAAGTTCACAAGTTGTCATTGCCATGACCCTATATTCTGCCTCAGCGCTTGATATGACAACAACATTTGTTTCTTACTTTTCCAGGATATGAGATTTTCTCCAACAAGGACACAATACCCCGAGGTGGATCTTCTATCAATGGGTGATCCTGTCCAATCAGCATCAGAGTATCCAACTGTCTGAGTATGTCCTTTGTTTTCATACACAAGACCTTTTCCTGGAGCACATTTGATGTATCTCAGAATCTGGATAACAACATCCATGTGTTCCTGATAAGGGGAATTTAAGAACACACTTACCACACTAACTGCAAAAGAAATGTCAGGACGAGTGACTGTGAGATAATTCAACTTTTCAACTAATCTCCTGTATCTTCCTTGGTCAAATAGAGACCCCCCCTGATCGGATAGTAGTTTGACACTTGGATCCATAGGAGTATCAACAAGTTTTGCATTTAACAACCATGTTTCTTCCAAAATATCCATAGCGTATTTCCGCTGAGAAATCACCGAGCCATCTTTGGATTGGGCCACCTCAATTTTCAAGAAGTAGCGAAGCTTACCAAGATCTTTTGTTTGAAATTGATTCGAGAGATGTTTTAATTGGAGTATTCCTTGTTGATCACTATCAGTTATGACAATATCATCTACATACACAATAAGATAGATACACCCTTGAGCCGAGTGACGATAAAATACAGAATGATCAGCTTCACTACAGACCATATCAAACTGTTGTACTACAATGCTGAATCTGTCAAACCAAGCTCTCGGAGATTGCTTAAGACCATAAGGAGACCTGTGTAGCCTACATATCATATTCGAGGACTTCCCCTGAGCAACAAACCCAAGTGGTTGTTCCATATATACTTCCTCTTCAAGATCACCATGTAAAAATGCATTTTTGATGTCAAGTTGATGAAGATGCCAATGTCGAATGGCTGCAACGGCTAGAAGGAGTCTAACAAATGCCATCTTGGCTACATGTGAGAAGGTGTCACTATAATCCAACCCAAAAATCTGAGTGTATCCTTTGGCTACCAAGCGTGCTTTAAAATGATCAATCTTACCATCTGGTCCAACCTTTACTGTATAAAACCAACGACAACCTACTAAAGATTTTCCAGGGGGTAGAGGAACCGTTCTCAGGTACCACTGCTTTAAAGAGCACACATTTCATCAATCATTGCTTGCCTCCACCCGGGGTGAGATAATGCTTCACCTGGAGATTTAGGAATAGAAACAGAAGACAAAGAGGACAAACAAGTATACTGCATAGGGGAGAAACGATGATAACATAAATCAATATAATGTGGAGAAGGATTTCGTGTTTGACATATACCTTTGCGAAGGGCAATCGGAAAAGAGCACACAACACACATTTCATCAATCATTGCTTGCCTCCACTCAGGGTGATATAATGCTTCACCTGGAGATTTAAGAATAGAAACAAAAGACGAAGAGGACAAACAAGTATATTGCAAAGGGGAAAGACGATAATAACATAAATCAATATAATGTGGAGAAAAATTTCGTGTTTGACATATACCTTTGCAAAGGGCAATCAGAAGATCAGACTCAGGTTGTAGGATCGGATCCGATGATGGCAAAGGCGTCAGAGGAGAATCTGCAATGACCTCAGGGAGAAGTAAGGTCCGTGTGGTTTCTACGAGATGTCGATTTTTGCGTTCGGCTATCCCGTTTTGTTGAGGTGTATGAGGGCAAGATGTTTGGTGCAGAATACCATTGGATGACATAAAAATTTGAAATTGTTGAGATAAATATTCACGTGCATTGTCACTTCTTAAGGTACGAATAGACACACCAAACTGAGTTTTTATTTCTTTATAAAAATTTTAAAAAATAGAAAATAATTCAGATCTATTTTTCATTAAAAATAACCACGTGCAACATGAAAAATCATCAATTAAGGGGACAAAATACCTAGACTCAAGAGTAGAGACATTATGTGAGGGACCTCAAACATCAGAGTGAACTAAAGCAAAAGGGGACGAAGCTCGTTTATTGACTCGATTGGAAAATTGACTACGAGTGTGTTTCCCTAACTGACACGACTCACAATGTAAATTAGATATCTTTGATAAACTTGGCACCAACTTCTGTAGTTTAGGAAGACTAGGATGACCTAACTGAGCATGGATAGTGAGTGGAAAATCTTTGGCTGAGCATGTCTGAGATGACACTGAGAGGTAATAAAGGCCTTGAGACTCACATCCGACGCTAATCGTCTGTCCTGAACTCCGATCCTGCAGGGTGACATTACTATTAGTGAAGGTGACAATACAATCAAGAGAACGAGTTAAACGACTGACTGAAAGTAAATTAAACGGACAATTAGGTACATAGAGAACATAAGTAACAGAGAGAGAAGGTAGAATTTGAACAATACCAATTCCTTTGGATTGAGTTTGAGAACCATTGGCAGAAGTTATAGTAGAAGTTATAGTAGGTAAGAAACCAGAAGTAGAGAGGGAAGAGAAAATATTTTTACCAACGTGATCAGACGCACCAGAATCAAGGACCTAAGGTCCAAGAGAAGATGATTGAGAGAGGCAAACAAATGAATTACCAGTATGTGCATCCAAAGCAATAGAGTCTGAGTTCTGATAATTCTGATACCACCTGAGGAAATCATCGTAGTTTGGCGTAATATTTTGAGGAGTAGCCATGAGTATCAAATCTGGAACCAGAGTAGAAAGACGATTTTCCAGTAAATTTTTTTTTTCGTGAACAGTAGTGGCGGCGCTGAACAATAGCGATGCAATGAACAGTAGCGACGAGGTTCGTCAAAATTTATTTATTTTTTGAACAGTGGCGGCTGTGGTCACCGGAAAAAATTTAAAAGGTGAAGACAGTGGGTCAACCAGGTAGCGTATGGTGAAGATTCTTCTCTCAGTAGTAGGCTCTGGATACCATGTTAAAATATGAGAAACTAAGACATTTGAATAAACCGTGTGTCGAATAGCACAACGGAAAATGATATATATATATATATATAGAGAGAGAGAGAGAGAATTTCATATCAACAGTATTAATTACATACTAAATATATACTGATTCTATCCTAGAATATACAAGGGAATATTCTAGAGAATATTCTTATTCTATATACAAATATCAACAGTAACTATAGTTATCTAACAAATGAAATATTTTTGTTATGAGCTGGGTTTAATGTTATCAATTTAGTTTCAAGTTTCCTTGAGTATATGCAGCTATCACCAGTTTTGAAAGATTGTTTTATAGATTTTCTGGGGTTCTCGTTTTCATTCCCCTTGTTTCTTGAGCAAGCGTTATTTTGCTGAATGTATGCTATTTGACACGAGAGACACGTGCGCATAAATTTAATTATGGTGGAGAGAAAGCAAGGTGGGATGGAAAAATTAGAGATAATCAAGGATAAAAATGAGAGTAGTGATGAGAGAAAGAGGATAAATTATTTATTTACATACTTATGCCTTGTTTTTCAACATACATGTAATTCTTCTCTTAATTTTTATTGTTTTTAGTTTATCTCTATCAATCTTTTGGTTTCTGTTCTAAAATCCTTTCACATTCTTGTAGATTGACCGACTCCTAGATTTGCTTGTAGAAGAGGCATCACAAGCTGAAAAGTGTGGTCATCCATTTCCATTGACTATTGTGTTTGTTGAGAGAAAGGTAAGCTTTGATATGTTTCCATGCTATGTATAAGTACTTTATACCTTTGTCTTATCATTTATATGTATACATGCAAGAAGTCAAAAGTGCGTAGTTTGATATGGGGTCTGATAGGAAAAAAGAGCAAGGTTTGGGCCAGTTGATTCAAAATGTGGGAACATGGCCAGGTTTGGAAGGTCTACCGATGGAGGCGTAATAAGAAATAAAAGTGATGAGCTGGTGAGTGAGAGAGGGAATAACAGATTAGGCAGTTATAAGAAATAAGGGAGAGCGAGAGAGTATCATGATAGTATTCTGTTTTGAAGAGATAGAAGCTCACCAAGGGTATTCTAGGTGAGGGAAGCCAACGCGGTTTGGGCTGGTAGAGTCTTCTATCAGAGTTTCCTTTTTTATTTATTGCATTTCTCTGTTTCCATCAATATTACATAGAGCTATTATGCTATTTTCTGTTTTGAATACCTCAGGGTCAAAGTTGAAGTAGGTTATTATTATTGCCAAAAAAAGTATTTGAATAGTCTGTCAGATAATTGATATTTCCATGCTTCTCCTTTAATTTATCATGTGCATGTAGACAAGGTGCGATGAAGTGGCTGAAGCATTGGTTGCTCAAGGATTATCTGCAGTTTCTCTGCATGGTGGTCGCAGTCAGAATGAAAGAGAGGCTGCATTACAAAATTTTCGGAGCAGCTCCACCAGCATTTTGGTAATCTCCTCTACACTTGCTAGAACACACTACTTTCAGTACATCAATGGTCTTCCTTTCACTTTTCATCTATTGCAAGTTCTTAGTTCTCTGCAATATTTTGTCATCATTCATCACAATAGTGAAGCCAGGTTTGGCTGGTTGCATTCACTTTGTTCCCTAAATAAAATTCCTTTGTTGCATCAAATATGGAAAGTAAGTTTATGTATAAGCTCAAATGATTGTTATAACTTGAATTTTTCTCTTCACGCCATTCATCAATTCACTAAATAAGTACTATGTTATCTGTCTGTATGATAGTTGTTAGTTACTGTTGGTGAGAGTTTATTGGGCTGGGATAGTTACAAGAAATATGGCATGTTTCATGTAAATAGGAGGAAGGGTTGAGAGGAAGAGGCATTTTGTAATCTGAGAGATTTAGACTTTAGGTTACGGAGGAGCAGACCCTGGAAGTTCTTCAAGAATGCTTGTCTTTTTCTGGCTGAATCCTTGAAACAGTAATACTCACAGCTCTATGATCTGTGCTCTGGTACTAGTTTTGCTAGAAACCATGTATTTTGTTAAAGAAGGGAAAATATCACCTGAATACATCTTACTAATGTGCAGAACTTCTATGGTCTGCTCCGCCATCCACAAAATCCCAAAGGCACCAAATATCTCTCAAATAAGTAGATGCCTATCTCTCAACTTTCCCTTTATTTATAGGTGACATGCCTTATTTCTTCTAAGAATCCCCAACCCAGACTAACTGTTACAAGTGACACTATTATCTGCTTGCCTCACATGGACCTTTGAATTAAGGTATTTCATGTGGTGTTTTTCTTTTTGCTTCAGGAAATTCTACCAAAAAGTTTGGATTCTCAACAATTTTTCCATAACTACAATAAATAAATTTCTGGATTTTTATCTGTTAATCATATTAATTAGTGATATTGTATCGTGCAGGTTGCCACTGACGTTGCATCACGGGGCTTGGATGTCACAGGAGTGTCACACGTCATCAATCTTGACCTTCCAAAGGTATTTCTGCAATTCTACTCCAAGCAAAAGCTACTTAGTTAATGGAGTTTTATCTGTACTCCACAAGGAAATTATTATCTGGAAAATTATGGAGATTTTCTGCAGTTAGTGGACTTTCATTCTGCCACTGCTTGTTGGCATCTCATTAGCCTGTCAATTTAAATTTCCTTGACAAATGCATACCTGAAGCTTCAGTTATGGCTACCTCAATTATAGACCACAGAAGATTATATACACCGGATTGGAAGGACCGGGCGTGCAGGATCAACTGGCATAGCCACTTCATTTTACACTGACCGTGATATGGTACTTGTTATCCACCATTTCTAGAAGGAAAACAAATTGAACTGTGTTTTTTCTCTTGATTTAAGCATTAATATGATTCTTTTCTTTAGTTTCTTGTGACAAATATAAGGAAAGCAATAGCTGATGCTGAATCTGGGAATGGTGTGGCATTTGCTACCGGAAAGGTACTGTTTCTCTTCTGCCGGGAAATTCTTGGTCCATTTAGTATATCCTTAAATCCTTAAATATGGGGTGAATCATAAAGGAATGTACTTTCGATATGATTCATTCTTTCATTTTTTTAGTAATTTTTTGATGAAAATAAAAACGGACAATTAGTTTTTTAGAAATCTGGTGTTTGTAGTTTTAGTTGATCGGGTTTGTCTTGGTTTTATTATACAGTAAATGGCTAAGATTAGTATTATAAACAGGTGTTAAGATTTGTGTGCTAGGTGCTCAATTTCCCCCAAACACTTTCGTATTCGGTTTTGCATCTAACTCTACCATTGGATTCTAGGTTGCCAGAAGGAAGGAGAAAGAAGCAGCAGCTGCACACAAAGAAGCAAATATTGCTTTATCTAGACACCTTGGATTGGGAGCTGCATCAATTAACATCGAAGATAAGTACAGATTCATGATTGCTGCCTCAAACAGTAGAGGAGAAGGTGCAGCAGATAGTGCATGGGACGATTGATGAAACTTCTGATGCCTCCCATACATTTGATCAATGGCAGATAGTATATGTTGTTTGGCATATACTGGAGATGGACAAGTTAAGTTTGCATATCTACATACTGTTTCACACGTTGTAGCTAGCACATTGGTAACAGGTAGCTTCCTAGACACCATTTGTAGAGTGAGTCAGTCGTGTAGGTAATGGATCTCATGTAATCATAGAAACAGAAGTTTCATTAAATTTGTGTTGCGGGAAATCTTCTAGTTAAATTTGTAGAGTTGCTAGGTTTTGGTGTAACAATATTTTCTTTCAATTTTATCATTTATTTTAACTAATTTATTCATTTTTTTTCTTTCATATTTTCTTTCATAAACACAGTATCACCTTACTAATTTTTCAAATAATTGCAAAAAAATTGGAACATCAATTATTTTTATCAAAGCTAAAGGTCAAGTTACACTATAGTCATATTAGCTATTTGAATCTTATTAATGCCACAAGCTAATTCTTAGCTATCTAACTAATTGGTTGGGGGTATGTTTTCATTATACTCTCCCACTTTCCCGTCCATATCTGTGCAACAGTACATAAGAAAACCATTAGTGATTGTAATGTGAATGCAAACTGTCGTCATCTTCCCATACGTCTTTGTCTATCCATGTTTTGCGATCCGTTTCAATCTTAACAGATTTATTCTCCACTAACAATTTCATACTAGTTTTTAAAAATCTACACAAGTTTAATAACTACACAGAAAAAGAAATAATGGAGTCTGTTTTATCATAATGAATAAGTGTCCTATATGAAGCTAAATTCTCCCTACTAATAACTAACAGGTTGAATACCAGGGTCCTCTCCACGTCACCCTTTTATTGAGTTTCACCCTTCTTTACTTCTTTTACCCAGTCCTAGAATAAATTCTTCACCCTTGTGTACTTCTTTTACCCAATTTGATCAGTGCTAAACACTACCTCCTCCTGAAACCTTAGCCCTGTCCTCAAGGCTGACTTTTGGAAATTGACTCTTGATGGTGATTGCCTCCTCCCAAGATGTTTCATCAAATAGCTTCCCCTTCCATTGTATCAACCCCTAATATAACTAGATGCAAAAGAGTCAACTACATCACCCTCCAAGTACTATGATAAGGCCTCCTCCTCAAGATAATCTCCTACAACTTTTTTCAACAATGAAACATGGAATATCAGATGAACCCTTGACCCTTAGGTAACTTCAATTTATATGCCACTGCCTCCTAGCCTCTCAAAGATATATGGTCCATAATACTCGGTTGCTAACTTCACGTTGATCCTTGATATGACAGACTATTGTTTATGAGCACAAAGCTTGACAAACACCTACTCCTTAACCTCAAAACTCTTTTCACTCCTCATCTTGTCCGCCTGAACTTTCATCCTTACTAGTGCTCATTGCAGATGTGTTCTCAGTTCGGAATAACATCACCCTTATCACTTAATTCCCTCTACAATGCCTCAACTCTAGTTTTACCTTGAACCCACTGTGCGATAATTAGAGGCTTTCTACCATACACAATTTCAAATGGTGTTTGCCTTGTAGTAACATGATATGTGGTATTAAACCAACATTCAGCCCAATGCCTCTATCAAATCCACAACTTATGTCGATCTGCTATGAAACATTTTACATATGTCTATATTTGTTTTACCATCCGACTTAGGGTGGTAAGCTAAACTAATTTTTTCGACGTGTCAATTGTAGCCTGAACAATTGTTTCCTAAAACGGATAACAAACACCGAGTATTCGCGGTATAAGAGTGGTTAAAGGGTAAAATGACAATACTTTGATAGTCTATCAACCACCACTAAAATAGCCTTATACCCTTTTGACTTTGGAAATCTAGTGATAAAGTCTTATGAAATATCTTTCCACACCTTTCCTGCTATTGGTAATGGTTGCAACATTCTCCCGTTGATGATGCTATATATTTTTTCCTTTGAGACACATCATATATCCATACAAATTCTTGTATCACATTTTTTATTCCATTCCAGTACACGTTTGCTGCAATTCTGCAATATATACAATAAAACCCATATTGACCTTCTTGGGGACTAGCTAGCATGGTACTCGTGTAACATCAAGGGGATAAAGGCTGACTTTCTATCCATCACCAAACTATCTTCATAGAATAAAACTCCCTGTTTGTACACAAGCCCAAGGGCAGCTAACAAATCTTCCTTCATTTGTTCAATAATTTTTCTTAGTTGTTTATCATTATGTACCTCTATAAGCTTCTTCCGATCACTCCACTATAGATATGATAGTATGTGACACAATTCTACCCTTTCGTTGATGCGTGATCAATCATCAACACCCCATGTTCAATCTACCATGCTTGTATACAATCTCAAAGTTATACCATAATAGTTTGGCTGCCCAATTTTGTTATACAATCACGATTTTTTGAGTCTCTTTTGATCGGTGGACACCACAAACCGCCTTCCCACTAGGTAAATGCGCTAGCGCTGGATGGCTAAAACTGCTTCCACGAGTTCCTTCTCATACACAACATTAGTCAGATTCCTGATCCCAAACGCATTGCTAAAGTATGCAATTGGTTGCTTCTCTTGCATGATTATAACACCAACTCCACCCCCGGAAGCATCACACATAAAAAATTCCTTGTTGAAATTCGGAAGAGCCAACACCAGTGATGTGGTGAGCCTATTCTTCAAGATCTTAAACGCTCTTTGTGCATATGTCCCCCATTTGAAAGAATCTTTCTTGATCAGCTCGATTAATGGTTTTGCTATCTTTCCGTAATTAGAAATAAACTTTCTATAGTAACTGGTAAGGCCTAAAGTCTCCCCTCACTCCCTTGACATTACGAGGGGTTGGTCAATTTGTTACACTTCCCACATTATTTGGGTTCACTGCCACTCTTTGGGCTGAAATCAAATGTTTCAAATAATTTACGTACCCTTATTTTCCACAAATTTGTAATGTTGCAGCCTCTGTAAGATTTCTTCTAAATGTAATATTTGTGACTTCCAGTCCTTAATATAAACCAGTATATTTTCGAAAAAATATTTCTGAGATATTGAATAAAACTCTATTGGATCGTAAGATAGTTTTGTGGTTAGACAAGTTCGATAGAGGTTAACATGCAGTTGATGGTCACTCTCATGCTGGTGTCGAAGTAGTATGCTATAGTCGAAGTATGGTCAAGCATACAGTTGTCGAAAATGTTAGGTTTGTTAGCATGGCTAATTGAGTCTCTTTGTTATGCCCAATTGTTTAAGTTAGTTTGTACCCTAAGTTAGCTTGTAATGGGTATTTGTGAAAAAGCTCATTAGTTTAGTATGTTAGGTTTATTCTAAATAGTATACTAGTCTCTCATTATTGCATACTGTAAATCCTAATTTACGGTGATAGATGTTATTTGTTATATTGTAACACTTGTAATCTTGTTTCAAAGAGAAAGTAAAGAATAACAGTTAATAATCAATTCCTTGTGTTCTTCTTGCTTTCCTGATTCATTCCTTGTGAATTTCTTGTCTCAAAAAACATGTTATACTCTGTTCTTGGCATTGTTTTCACAACAAATTGGTGCAGTGAGCGTGGAGAAGATGTCTTTAACAAAGTATGAGATTGAAAATTCATCGGAGTGAACAATTTCAGTCTGTGACGCTTGAAGATGAAAGTCCTACTAGTTCAGCAGGGTTGTTTGAAAGCGTTGAAGGGAGCGACAACCATGGATATTGCGTTAACGGAAAAAGAAAAGACGATCATGATAGAGAAAGTCCACATCGTAATATTGTTGAGCCTTGGTGATAAGGTTCTCCGACAGGTATCAAAGGAGACAACGACATCGGGGTTATGAATGAAATTTGAAAGTTTGTACATGATCAAATCACTGGTAAATCGACTCTACCTAAAGCAAGCTTTGTATTCATTCAAGATGATTGAAGATAAAGTATTGGCTGAGCAGTTGGATATGTTCAACAAACTGATTCTTGATCTTGAAAATCTTGATGTGAAGATCAAGCGCTGTTACTGTTGTACGCTTTGCCCAGAACACATGCTCACTTTAAAGAAACTCTCTTGAATGGAAGAGAGTCCATGATCTTAGAAGAAATTCAATCAACCTTTTATTCTAAGGACTTGAACGAACGAAAGAAGCATAAACCTTCAGTGGTTGGTGAAGGTTTGACTGTTAAGGGAAAATTCTTGCGAAATGATGGTAAGTTCGATAAGTAGAAAAGTAAAAGTCAGCAAAAATTTTACAGTGGAGAAGCATCTAGTATTCGATGCTATTATTGTAAGAAGGAGGGTCACACAAGAAAGGTGTGTCCTGGATTCCTGAAAGATTATGAAGGTAAAGATAATGGCAACACAACCATTATTCAAGATGATTTCGACTCATATGATATTCTTGTGGTTTTAAGCAGCAACTCAAGAAAAGAGTGGATTATGGATTCATGTTGCACTAGACACATGATTCCAAACAAAAACTTGTTCGAGGAGCTATGTGATCAAGATTATGGATCTGTATTGCTGAGAAACAACAAATCTTGCAAGATTGCATGTGTTAGATCTGTGGGATTCAAGCTCCATGATGAGTCAATATGGTTATTGACTGAAGTCAGGTATGTACCTGATTTGAAGAGAAATTTGATTTCTCTTGGTGAATTCGGAAAGAAAGGATATGTTTTTCGAGGAGAGAAAATTATCCTAAGAGTCATGAAGGGATCGAAGGAAGTCTTGAGAGGCGTGAAGAAACAAGACTTGTATACCTTGAGGATAAAGTTGTAAGTGGTTCGACAAATATTGCATCTACGAAACTTTGATCGAAGACAAAAATTTGGCACATGAGATTGGTCCATGTTAGTGAAAGGGGTCTGGTTGAACTGGGGAAACAAAATTTGCTTGGTGGAGACAAAGTCGAAAAGCTGAAGTTTTGTGAATCACATTTACTTGGAAAATCTTGCAGAGTAAAATTCAACAAAGGAAAACAAAGAAGACATGGATCCCTTGA